GGCCACTTCAAACCCCTATAACACTGTTCCGTGTTTCACTTCACTAGTGGTGCTTTCCGCGTACAGCTCTTTGCCACATTCATGGCTAGAAGGTATTTGGCCCACACAGAAGGAATAAAGACGATTGTGGTTATATCTGGCTACTGAGAACAGAAGATTCCTCAAACAATTTCCTGCTGCCAGCAGGGTGGTACAAAGAGCTGCTGTCAGGCAGGCTATTAAACAATACAAAGATTCCCTAAAGACAGACTTAAGAACTTACAGCATCTGCCTTCAGTCATGGGAGACCATCACAAAAACACACTCTCGTGTGTCTATTTGAACAGCAGCAAAGGCAGCACAGTGTAGCCATCTAATCAATATGCTCTGGACTGAATGGAAATCGGGTCACCGGGGCAGGGGGTGCAAAGGGGTCCCCTGCTCCTCCGGTCAAAACCCAACTCCCCTTCTTAGAGTAAATCGGTACTTAGCAAGTGACAAAACAAGCACCTGTCATCATTTTCTGTCCCGGCGGTCCTCTCATTACCTTGCATGTGGAGGTCTTTGCTCGTAATGAGATGGCAGGCTCTTCACAACTGGAGTCAGCACAGGAAAAGGGCTGCTTTTGGAATCGGCGTACTTGGGCTCCCATGCGGGCTCTGCCACTTCATGATCGGTGACCTTCGGCACGATACTTAACTGCTTTATCCTGTTTGTGGTTTAATCTTGGCTTCTTCTCAAGACTGTCATAAGGATTCAACCCTCATAGCACCTGATGGCTGCTCAATAAAGTAAACATCGACTCTGTCCTCTTTGAGAGAACGGACGACATCAGTTATTTCTGCATCCTTAGCTCCTAGCAGGTGCCTTGGCACGTGCTAAATATCAGAAGATGTGTGTGGAATAAGTTAATCTTATAATTTCTCTTGTACATTAAAACCCCTCACTCTGTGTTGGTCATCTGGTTGGTTCTCAAATACTCTTTGAAAGAAAAATGCTTTTGTAAAAAATTCAAATTTATTTACATACAATGAGTTATTATATTATTATATTTATATATTTCTAAGTTATACATCACCTTTTTACATCATACATAATATGTATTATATGTTATATGTATTGCATATAATAAATTACATATTATTTTATATATAATAAATTGTATATTATTTTACATATAATAATATATAATACATATTATATGATATATTATTA